GGGTGGAGGGGATCAATGGGGGGGAAGGGGGATATCTGTAATACTTTCAAGAATAAAGATAAATTAAAACATAAATAAAATATTATTTAAAAAATTTTTTAATCCTCACCCAAGGATATATATTTTTTAAATATGTTTTTATTGATTTCAGAGAGAGGAAGGGAGAGAGAGATGGAAACATCAATGATGAGAGAGAGTCACTGATTGGCTGCCTCCTGCATGCCCCTTAGAGGGGATCAAGTCAGCAACCCAGGCATATGCCCTGACCAGGAATCAAATTGTGACCTCCAGGTTCATCGGTCAACACTCAAATACTGAGGGACACTGGCCAGTCAAGGATATTTTTTAATTGATTTTAAGAGAGAGAGAGAGAGAAACACTGAATGGGTGCCTCCTGTACGCACCCCATCCGAGGATCAAACCTGCAACCTAGGTATGTGCCATCACTGAGAACTGAACCTGGTCCAACCAACCAAGCCACCTGGCAAGGGCTAAAATATTAATTTTTTTAAAATAAAAGTATTGTTATAGAGATAGTCATGTCCCCAAAACAAGCTATTTAGTTTTTGTTCTTAAGACCTATGAGGATTTACTTTGTAGTTTTGAAAAAAATATAGGAAAACAGAAGGATATTTCAGGACTACTAACATCTGTTGATAGAATACAGCTATTCTTAAAGTTAACAGTGTGATAACACATTCAAACTTCACCTTCAGAAAATACTGTGTTAAATTGTTTGTATATTGAGTATATAAAATTGTATTCTTTGCTGAATTTTATGTCTTCTTAACAAATCAATCCAAGACCTGGGTTAGTTTTTTAGAAAAACACCCCTGGCACTATTAATAATAGCCCTAATTAAGATTAGAATGCCTAATAAAACTTCCTAATAGAGTCCTAGAAATAGGCACTATGTGTAGCAAACATATGTCACATAAATATTAAAAATTCTTCGAAATTAAATTAGTTAAAAATCATTGTGAGGCAAAGGCCTGCAGTAAGTTCTCTAAATACATCAAGTTTTACTTTCAGAACTTTGTGTGAAACTTTATTTTTGATAACTAAAAAGAAATAAAGAAGAAGTGGGGTCATACTTCCTTTACTATTATAATCTTTTGAAGACGCAATAGTCTGATTAATAGCTTAAAGAAAACTAGAATATGGTTTGTATGGGAAATATCTCTAGTTCACTGAGAGCAAGATGTTTAGAAACTCTTCCCTTCAAAAAAATAGCTGGCCTCCAGATTAATTCAGAGAGATATATGATGCGATTCTTTTGAGTCTCAGGCTGGGAGGGTTATCAGGTAGATCTCTATAAACTACTGACAAAACTTCTCAGGCATTTTATCATTCCTACTTTGAAATTCCACTCTTTTCAAGGTTCAGTAATCTCTCTACTCTGTCCAAAAATTAAGAGTTTTGATAATATTAAAATGTGTGCCACAGTAAAACATAAAACCCTACATTTTTTATTCACATATTTTAAGTGTAGTTATATAAAATTGGCAACTGTACATAGTCATGTACTCAAAACCACAATCAAAATATTTAACAGATCATCACCATTAAAACCTTTCTTATCCCTATTTCCAGTTGATCCCCTTCCCTGACCCCAAGTAATCACTGATCTGCTTTGTCACTACAGTTTTGTCTCTTCTAGGATTTCCTACAGATGGTATAATAAAGAACGGTTATGTAGGCTTTTGTATTTGGCTTCTCTCATTTAGCATGTTTTTGAGAGTGAGTTATGGTTTTCACATATTAACATTTAATTCTTTTTTTATTGAGTACTAGTCCAATGAATATTCAATGAATAAATACATAACAATTTGATTATCTATTCACTGACTGATAGACATTTGGGTTGTTTTCAATTTTTAGCTATTTGTGAATAATGTTCCATGAACTTTCTCACACAACTGTCTGAGGTAAATACCTAGGAATAGTCATTTGGTAAATATATGTTTCATTTTAAAAGATATTACCATATTTCTGTAGTATGGCTCTATCATTTTGTATTCCCATTAGTAATGTATGATATTTCCAATTGCTCCAACCCTCTTCAACACTTGGTATTGTCAGTGTTTTTAACATGAGCTGCTTTTATTATGTGTGTAGTGGTACCTCGTGGTTTTTATTTACGCTTCCTGATTACCAATAATGTTGATATCTTTTCATCTACATTTATTTATAAGAACTACAGTAAAAATTGTGCATTATAAAACAGAAATTTTCTGTTATTTTTCTTTGAGTAATTCAAATTCTGTAATAATCCAGCTACTAATCTCACCCATTGGCTCTTGTCCTCTACTCAGCTCCAATTCTTTAATCTGTCAGGCTAAAGTTCTTACTTATCCTCTAACAGAAAAGATGTGGAAGAGGTAAGCTGTGAAAACAAAGGATGGGTTTCTGCCTGGCCAGAGTATTCCATTGGCCAAATTTTATATTTGATTTGTAAGAGAAAATGTGCCTAATTCAGACATGCAGAAATCCCTGCTCCAGTCTTGCAAGTTCCAGCCAACCTCAGGATGCAAAAACCATCCAACTGATATTTAAACTGGAAAGGATAATCACCTGCCGAAGGGCATCAAACAGCAGTGGAAACCAGAGTGAATCTGGCTCCTACAGTGGAACTCCTGAACTATGGGCCACTAGCTGCTCAGGCTCCTGATGGTCACTGCACTAACTGCAACAATGTTACCCTGCATTTCACGACTGAATTTCTTGCACTGACTAGTCATGTTATCATTGGGTTTGACCACACATGAACAGTCGCTGAAAAAGATAATTTACTGTATAAACACAGAATATTAGTGTACTGAAAAACAGGCCTAATAGCCAGTACACTTTACATTTTCCATAATACTTTGCCCAGGAAATCTATAAAAATCTAGGCTTTCTGAAAGACGATGAAAAAGGTTGAGTGCAGTAGTTCTGAACTATTTTTTTGGTTATCTATTTAAAAACTGCTGCAGGAAATGCTCTGATGCAAACGTACACAAAATCAAGAACCTCTTATTTTAATTTTTTTCTCCATTATTACATAAAGATAAGTAAAAAAATAATACTTAAATTCTATAAAATTAAATTCTAAACAGATTCTTTGGTGGCTTTTAAAAAATGCATTTAAGGAATACATTCCCTTGAGTAACTTTACCAGTAACCGTGGCAACTTCAGCAGAGAAAGCTTGTTGATTTAGACTGCTTGTTTCAGAATCTATGTGAAGCGTGGTCAGACTAGCCACTTCTTGCTCTTCAGCACTCTGATGATGACCAGAACCTGAATCCATATCAGCAGAGGACGCAATTCCAGTATCAGCTCCAAAGCCAAAATCTATAGGAAGAAGAAATACCAATCACAAAACAAAAATATTTACAAAAGAGACACAGCTACTTCAGCAAAATGATTAAACATTAACATTCCCCCTAAATCTATTCTATTTATATACCACTCACACAAGTGTAAACAATGTTAATACTTGGAAGTTTATATTTAGAAACAATTTTTTAAACATTCTTATAGCTAACTATTAACAAAAAACGATAAAAGAAAGACAACCAGATATATCACTATTCTTATCCATGTTTTCTGATAGCTGGTAATATACTTACTGCTTTTCAAATGTTTTATCATCTCTAGTACAACTATATATAATAAAAATAGCACATATATGGATAATAAAAATAATTTTTCCTTTAAATCATATTCCCAGTCTTGAGATTAGAGCAGTATATAACCCATAAGGGTGGCAAACGTGTAATTCTCCAATGTATCTCCCAGTTCTTCACAAGGTTTTGACTTTCTGTTTTAAAATTTTGGTACCCTTTACTGACTGCCAAGTGTAATAAAGAATTACAGCAGAAAAGCTATATGGTAGTGATAAAATACCAAATAATATCATTGATGTTATTTTAACATGAAGCAATTATTCAAGAAAAGTTCTGGGTACTGTAGCATTGAACATAATTGTACTGAACATACTGAAGTACTGAACATAACTACACAGTGGTTCCCAAATATGAGTATATAAAACAGTGCCAACTCATAACCATGACTACCTGTCCTTTATTTTAATATCAAGTCCATCCTAATTTTTTTCCTTTCTACATTTTAGGTCTTAAAATATTATTCCATTTTATGAAAACACAGTGAATTTTGTTTTCTTAAATGTCTTTAGTTTGGCAAAATAAAGTGGCACCAACTTGAAGTGATTCCCTAAACTTCCTTTGGAATTTCACTGAAAAATGAAATAAAAATATGTGGAAACCCCTCGTCTAAGTAACATTACAGAGAAAGGTGATGGTCATGTGATTCACAGTCAGTCTAGAACAGAAAACAATCAACAAAAAACCAATAATGTTCAAATAGAAAAAGATACTTGCTGTCAAATTTTCGGCCATCATATTGGAAAGCACTGAAAGAATCCGAATGACTATCTGAGCTGATAAGATCACTGCTGCCTGCACTGGCAGGAGAAGTCCATTCTGAAGGTACACCTGGGTCATCAATAGGGCGCATTTGGTTCTGCTTGTTTAGAATATCAGGGAGGTCTTTGGGAATTTCAAGGCTGCCTGGGCTACTTCCTCTTCTTGTCATAGTCTAAAAATTCAAGAAACATTTACCATTTTAAAAAAGTTCTTAAGTTCTAATTAAACATCTGAACTCTTTCATTTCCAAGAAAATTGCAGTCAGAGGGGGAAAACACAGTAATGGAGCAATTTACATTAACTGTAAATTAATGGAGCTGGGAGCTGGAGCCTGAACTACCGTTGGTCTGCTTAAAGACCCAAATATAAGATGGTGCTGGGCCTGAGACTCTTAAGCCTCAAAAGGATCCATAAAGTAAATATAAGTTAAGAGAGCATGAAGAGCAAAGTATTCAAATGGAAAACAGAGAAGCAGTAAGAATTGATAGTGAAGGGAGGAAAGAATGCCATTCTATAATGATGTCATTCTATAACTACAGTGATTCTATAAAGATGTCATTCTATAATGATTCCTATAATTTTTCCCACTCAAGAAAAAAACACCAAAAAACAACTAAGAAAGGGAAGGAAATGTAATGGACCTGCAGACTTTCATTAAAGATAAGTTGAGAAGGTAGAAAAGGATATAGGGGAAATAAATGGTGATGGAAATTAATTAATTAATTTTAAAAAAAGGACAAGTTGAAACCCAAATGGAATAAGACCATTCTAAAAGGCAATTTCACATATATTCATCTTGCCTTAACAATTAAGTATTATTAGGGATAAAATTGTTTCTATTTTCATTTTGCCATAATTCTAATACTCAAAATAAAGATAACTTTAAAATCTATTTCAAAGTTATCTGTAACTAAAAAGGGTTAAATTTGGAGGGAAGGCTGTTTTGAATAAAAATTTCCACATATGTATTATATATAGATGCACATAGGTCTATATCTTTTAGATTCTCTACCCTCCTCTCTAAAACCAAATAAATAAAATAAAATAACACTTACAGAGGCATTACCACTTCGAAGTCGTTCTGCTATAAATTCATCCATCAGATCAGGAACATTAGCATTGCTGCTGCCAATATCACTATTAAGAGGAGGCAGTTTGGGGCTCATGTCCTCTTTATTGACTAAAAATAAATAAATAACTATATATAGTAAGGAAAAACTTAACGGCATTTTCTAAATTTGAAATGAACAAGAACCACCCAAAACAAATTACCTATGCCATATCAATTATTTGCCAAACATGCATTTATAAATAATTTCTCTCCCTTTAGATTTAACTTTAAGAATTAGTAAATTGATATTTACTTTATTTAACTAAGCAAATTGTTAGTCAATCTTCAGTATAACCTTAAACAGCAAGAAAGCTTATAGATAAGCACTAGTTGGAGTTAGGTTAATATTGCCTATAAAGAAACTGGTATATTTATCTTTCTTTCTACCTCTATTCTTCTATTTAGCCTTAACTTATAATTCCATTTTTCTCAAAAGAATATTTGCAAGAAATATATCCTTTGAATCTAGCAAATTTTTTTCAGTGGGACATAAATGCATTTAAATTTAGATATTTATAAATTAATTCTATAATTTTGACACATTTCTATTCACTACAAAATCTAATTTTATTGCTTTAATAAAAGAGATTTTCAAAAAGATTTTTTTCTAAAAAGAAAAGCCCAAAATAGTTGTCTTGATTTTTTTATCTTGATGTTTTAATGACTACATTCTGATTTACATTACCAAGAAAGTGTTAAACTTGGAAAATTAATTTATAGAAAATAAGATAATTATTTCACTATTATGCTGTTAAAAGTTTATTTCTCTGCAATTAAAAGACAATCAGCACTGCTTATATTCCTAATTAACTACAAAGCATTTCAGGTTAAGAAAGTACACTGATCAAGAGCTCATTGTGAAATACCATTATCTTTATATTAATGGCCAGGCTTTGCTAAGCTGTCAAATACTGCCCTCAAGTGGCATTAATGGCTCAATGCAAGATGCATTCATTGTTAATCATGCTAACAAAACCATGTTAAACAAATGAAATCAAAACCTACCTTACTGCTGAAAGTTAATTTTCTATATCTGTAAAGTTATTTTAAATTTGAATCAAGATAAGACAGTTATCATAATCTTACTTTTTGTAATCTGTCCATAGAGGTTCCATATTTAAATCATGATTGGCCATCATGAAACCTTTATGTACATCTAAAATCTCAGAAAAGAGAAAGTAACGATAAGTGTTTCAAGGACATAATTTGCATTCTATACAAATGAATGCAAAACTAAAAACCTTTAGCTTGTTTGGAAATCACTTAAATAAAAATTAACTATATCCATTTCGAGATTTAAGATATAATTTCCTCTTCAATTAGTTAACCGAAAATGTTGGTGCTGATTGTAGGACCTTGATTTCCATTATGTTACATAATGTCAAAGTAAATTTCTACCAAGAAAAAAGATAAAACCAAATAAATCAGCAGTAAAAATAAATGAACTCAATGATATAGCTAGTGCCCTTTTAAATATAAACTATAGGGGGCAGGGGTGAAAGTATTCCAGCTCCTCAGAAAACTTAATTTCAAGGCTCATGTAGTACACAATCAGAAAAATATTTGATATAGGACAACCTTTGAAAGGTTATTAAAATTTTCCTGTATCTTCCTCTTTCCTATCTTGTTCAGCAGCAAAGAGGTTTAACTAAATGCCTTATAAGGGAAATTAGTAATTTAAATAAACATTTTATGCTGGGAAAAATACAGCTGGGAAAAGGCGCATGCATAACCGAACAGAGAGAAAGCAGTGACCATCCCAAAGCTTTTTGATTGCTTATAGCTTGCTTCAGTTGCATTAAGCCAAACTGGTGCTGTCTTTCTCCTTTTGCGCTCTGCACATTGTTAGTGCTCACCTGCAGCTTTCCTTCCAAAATAGCCCATTACATGACTGTACAGATCCCTCAGTGGAGCCTCTGGTGGCATTCTGTTCTGCCTCTGTGGGGAAACATTTGCCTTCGGCTTTGAAAGAGCATGTACAACAGTTTTATAAACGCCACCCAGGGAGCCCTGCGGTAGTCCTGCCTCATGACTTGATGATCTAAGAGTACTACGACTACCTAACTGATTACTTGCAATTCCTTCCTTTTGTAATACGGTGGAAATCTCTGTAGATTCCTTAATTGTTTTACTACTTACTGATGTTGTACTAATTGTATTGAGAGGTCTGTACACACCAGGTTTTACTAGCTCTGTAACACTATTTGAACTGGCATGGGGGTTGCTGGCGTTGCTATTGCTACTATTGAAGCCACTGAGCTTCCGCAGTCTCATCTTCCATGGAGCCTCTTTGCTTTCCAGAGGATTGTAAAACTGAACTGACTCAGTAGATGGTCTAAAAGTAACATGAACACTATTTCGTTTTTTAGTAGCAATTTTCATGATTTTGGCTCTATGAGTTACTGTTTCAGACAAGCTCCTTTTGGTTGGAGAAAGCTTGCTAGTGTTTGTAACATGAGGCATTCTACGGTTAACAGGTGCTTTTAGTGTGGTTTTCTTGGCATGCATAACATGAGGGGCAGGTTTTTTTTCATTAATTTGCATATCCATAACCTTTTCAACTAGTGTTATATCTACACAGGCATCTAATTCTGTGGCTGCTTGTCTATACAGATACTTCCTCTTTTCTTTATCACAAGGGCTACCTGAACTAGGTTCTGATGACTGTTTATCACTGTTTAGTTGCTTAGATTTTTCAGAAGTTTTTGTTCTCATAAAACTATCTAATTGATTAGATGCAATATTACTCATGAAGACAGATGAGTTTTGTTCTTTTTGAAACTGTATGTTTTCAGGAGTTCCAACAAAAGAGGAGATATTTTCTAATTTACTTTCTTGGTCTAAGTATTCTAATTTATCTAAGGATGACCTTTCATCCCTATTTACTGCAACAATCACTTCCTGAGAAGCTGCATTTTTACCTAACTCATTTTTACTGTGATTTTCCTGGTTTTCCTTAAAATATTCTTTCAGGGAGGAAAGAAGATCGTCATCTCCTTCAAGGTCAATGTACTGGATTTGTTCAAAAGCTGAATCTGCGAGTTCTACTGGATTTATTAAGTGACAAAGATGGTCATATATGCTATCACCAACTTCCAGAGAAGACTCTCTACTATGAGTATCAGTGATGTGGCTTTCAGTGGATCTAGTTATTGAAGAAGCCTCTGTGGAACTCTGCAAGCTTGGCGCATGACGGGATGAACTGTCAATGACAGGAACTGCACCTTTGGCTCGTTCAACAGTGAATGGTTCCAAGATGTCAGAAGTGCTGCTACTTCGAGGCAATGGCTGTTCCTCATTCAAAGCACCAAAAACTTCATTCCCAGTGTCTTCACTTTGTGAAAAATGTCTGACTCTACTTGGGCGGGGAAGTATTTGAGTATCATCAATATCTGTAAAAAAGAAAAATTACAGAGTAGAATGATATGAATATGAAAAATAAGTATTACTTTCAACCCTAATCATATGCTTAAAAATAAAAAATTCTGACATTTTTTTGTAAGCTCAATGAAAGAAAATCTATTAAAAATACAAATCTGTTTTTAAATAATGATGGGCACAAGCCAATACAGCATGTAGTGTCAATGAATTAGAAAATTACCAGAATACATTTTAAAATGTTAACATGCATAGAGACAGTAAGGTGATGAAACATTTGGAAGTGCAGTTTAAGATAGAGCTGTGCCAATAAATCAAGCAATTCAAATTGCTATTCAGTTTTTCCTACTTATTTAAGTTCCAAGTAGAAAAACTAGATCTTAACATAGAAAGCTGATACAAATACACCACTGGAAAGTCTTATAAGGTCTCATAAATTCCTGTTTTCTTCCTTATCAGGCAAGAGCTTTCATCTTTTCTTCAAATATTGCCTATCTGTTTGATCACGTTACAAATGAAAATTTCCACCCTCCTCCTAAACCTCTCTTTGTCAGGACACTATTTATCTATTCTCTGAGGTGTTTTACTTTATTATAGCATTAACATCTATTCATCTCTATCAAATAAAATCAATACACTTTAAAAAAACTAATTGTACCTTTTCTTTTTTGATTCAAACACCATTTAATCCACTAGGAAGAAACCTTCTCTGCCTTTCACTGGCCTTTTCCATTAAACCACCATCAAACCTTAAAAACTGTACCTATGTTTTCTTACATCTTTTAAAAAGCACAGATTTTACAATAAAAGTGGACATTACAGATTGTCTACTTAAATCTCTTACTGAGGAAATTAAGGCCCAAAGAAGTGAAGCCATTTTCTCAAATATATAATCACAGTTTGAGAAGCAGTCTCAGTGTTCCATGTTACTGCACTGTTTCTGCTGCCTGAAGTGCTAAGTATACATGGTAAATCCTCAAAAATATTTATGAAATTAATTACAAAATAAAAATACTATTTAACTGTATAGATATAAACAAATTAGAAGTTTTAGAAGTAAAATACAATGTCTTTGAATCCACCATGGCCTTTATATTACCTAGAAATAACTACTTTTTTTTCAGAAGCCAGCAAAATAAAATGAGAAAGGACAAAGTCAGGAAGTCAGGTGCTGCTCTCATCAGGCTCGTACACAAAGGCAGAGTAGCAGAGCTACACATGCACAGTCCAAACGAGGAGCTTAGGTGCAGAGCAAGGCAGGTCTTGTCCAAGGTCACAAAGTAATTTACTGATGGTGCCAGGTGTAGAGCTTAGTTTTCCTACTTTAGACTCTGTTTCCTCATTTATAAAATGGGGATTGCAATTCAAAACATTTTCAGGATTCATGCTATGGATGAAAGGAGGCTGGTCTTTTTGCTATTTCATTCACATCGTCCTCTTTGTATGAGGTCCAAAAGGAGCCACTTTATACCAAATTCAGATCAAGAGAAATTTGTATCATGCCAAGGTTCCACTATATTTCTGAAGAGAGACATTTAGACTCCCTACATAGGTCAAATATCAGCTAAATTTCTTTTATCATTGAGAATATAATACAAATTAAAAATGAAAGTTGGCTTTCTCCTTCATGCCCTCCACTTAGAAATTCTTCTGAAATGTAAAACATCTAAGAATCTTCACATTTATGCATGTATACTTATTATTTATTATTGCAGCAGGTAACTAATGCATACTTGTACATCTTGAATGTAAGTACTTTGGTTTGTTATATCTCTCATTATTGATAAGAACCTCTGCGTAGAAGACAGAGATTATATTCAAATTGCACAAAATATTCTAATAAGACTTAGCAAAGTTTATGACAAATACTGTGTAACTTTTCTATAAAAATTCTGAAGAATTTTGTAGTTGGAATTTTATTTTATCAGCTCCAAATTAAAAACCAAGATCTCGTTATTAAAATTTAATGTTATGAGACTAGCAAATAAATGAACTGCAGAACAAAAGTAGTTTTAATTTTCAGTTTCTTTTATTGATATTTCACTCACTCTAAAGAAGCCAATAAAGATTACTACAAAGTTCTGTTTTTAGGAATTTCTTCCTAAACTCAGTCTTCACCTTGAATATTAGAAAATTTAACCATTTATTTTAGCCTAAGTTTTTTCCTAAACTTGTAACCACATATGAATATCCAAAACCTTTATGCAAGTTTAAAAGAGGGCTTTAAAAAAATCAATATTTTTCTATCAATAATACCACGTTAAATAATTTAAATTTAAACAGAAAACTTTTTGAAAGTTTTAAGCTTTAAATATAGTTCTTACATGAGCACATGACAATACTAATTGCATAAAATCAAAGAAAATAATTGCTAAACAGAAAACCAATGTCAGCACTTGCATAATTGACCCTAATAAGCCTTTAATTGAAATACAGTAAAACCTCGATACAATGGGCTAATTCCAGTGAGGGAGTGTCCGTTAAAGCCAGAAGCCTGTTATATATATAACAAAGTAGGTTTTCTGAATGCACGTGTTAAAAAATTGACAAATTAGTTAGTTTACCTGTTTTTATTTATGTAGACATGTTTGTGTAATTAAAATTAAGTATGTATAAAAAGTTCAATTTCACAGAAAAGTTTTCTAGATGTATTACAGTAATTTTAAATTTATACTGCATAGGTCTAGTAAATACGGGCATTCACCAGTCACTGACAGTAAACAAATGCACACGGCTGGGGCGGGGGCGGGGCCGGGGCGAGGCTTGGCACACGAGGGATCATTAGCCAGCAGGTGTTCAAACTGCTGCAGAAAGTCCTGCACTTGACAACAGAACCAATTACCATGCTCAGTGCGGTGTGATCTCGTGCTAATCACTCCACGAACATTGTTTACAAGTGGTGACTCTTGGATTTAAATATGTAGACTATAGCTGTAGATATGTAATATTTCTTTATGTTGGTGAAATTACTAGTGTTTTTTCCAACGTATGGCCTAGTCGCTAAGATTTGTTAAAAATAACAGTGAACTAATAACAACAATAACAACAACAATAACCTGTTAATTTAATTATAAGCAAATCTTGGTTAAAAGCATTTTAAAGTCAACAGGGAATTTTCACATATGACATACGGACCAGAAATTTTGTCCGTTAAATCTGAAGTCTGTTAAATAGAGGTCCACATAACCGAGGGTTTACTGAATAAATGAACTTTATGAAGAAGAAAAAGGCCAAATAATAGCTATACCATATATAGTCTTTTCTACATGCTAGGCACTGTTCTAAGAATTTTACATATATTAACTCATTTAATCCTCATAACAATTCTGTGAAGTAGGTGTTATTATACCCATTTTATAGATGAAAAAACTATTTAAGTGACCTGCCTCCAGTTATACAGAAAGCGGAAAGCTGGGATTAGAAGGAAAATATTAGTGCATGTACTTAATCTCTCAAATAATATTTATATATTTACAAAATAATTCATTAATTTTTTAAGTTGGTAAAAATTATATTATAAAGCAGCACAGTGAGTTATCTCCATAAAGATAAAAATCTTAGAAATCAAAACTAAGTGAAATACAACATTTGTAAATTATACAGAAGAAAACAACTGATAGTTTGTTATTGGATTGTTTGAAAATAATGGTGGCATCAGGTTAAAACAAAAATGGCCTTCACAATAATTTAATTATGCTGCTTATATTTTACCTTAAAAAATAACAGCCTCTAAATTAAATTAGTTTAACCTAAAGTTTTAGTACCCACTGAGTGAGCAAAACAAGAAAAAATTCTGTTAATAAACTAAAAAATATTTTTGAACACTGAGAAAATGTTTCCTATAGAGTCTACAAAGTACTGGTAATGTCGGTTTTATCTTGGGTTTCCTTAATAATGTTTAACATTAAAATTTTCTGAATTAAAAAGTAGTTTGTTCTGAATATTCTGCTTCAAAAAAAACTTTGCTATTTCAAAAGAAGCTGCAAATTAAAGCATATTACCTTCTAATGTGTAAAAAAATCATTCCTTACACTAGAATTTGTTTTGTATTTTCATAATATCCCCACTGCTTAAAATAGCTCGTCACATAGCAGGAGCTCAATAAACAATGGTAGAAGGAAACCATGTCTTTTATATTAAAATTAGTCATCTCTAATTAGTAAAATATCAAATTAATTCCTCAGGAATAAAAAACTTAAGTTATAATACTTATAGACCACTAGAAAATTTTAATAATTTCTAAAACAAGGTACAGAATCAAGTGCCAAAATCCCTTTTACCAAAGTTAAATTCTATTACCAGGTGATGATAATAGGTATCAGTAATAATACATATTTTTACAGCTCCTGAATTCATAAAATCATTTATATTAGTATATTGAAATTGATGCCACTCTGAAGCTCAAGATTTTTTTCTGCAACTGCCCAAGGGAAATGACAATGTCCTTTATGTAATTTTTGCCTATTTGGGCAACAATGGCAATGTACCTGCAAGGTAGGCAAGAACTGCAGAGCATCTATGTTTCCAATTTTACTAACAGACGCTAGTAAAAACTACATCTTCTTAAGACTAGGTGTTCAATCTGTAGGTAATTGAAAGCAGTACTTACATCACTGAAATCATGAAATGACTAAAAAGCAACAAACCAAGTTTAATGAATTTTAATTTTAGACCACTAAAATTTAAACCACTAAGCTATCTTTTACCCTTCTAATAATTTTCCCTGACTCTTAAAATTCTGGAAATAGACAAATGACCATTGATCATCTTTTATGGTAAGAAAATTATACTGTTTAATTTGTTTATAAACATGTTATATAATGCCATGGTTAAGTTAGCTTCAGATTTTTCCTGAGATGCACTTAAAAAAAAATTAACAAATTGTCTCAGCAAAAAAATTCTAACTTCGAATTATGCTTGAACCAGCAGATTATAGGCAGAAAGCTGTGAAAGATTACTATCTCATATTGATAAGAAGAAGAAAGAAGTTGCCCAGTCAGTGTGGCTCAGCGGT